AGAGGACTGCTGGCTACCAAATGGTGGGGCTTCTGTCTGAGCTGCAGCTCGGTCTTGTTCCTGCTAACAAGATCTGGGGCTCCTGCTACATGTGGCTTTTATAGCCTATTTCTGGACGAGTGAGCTGCCTTCGATGGTTGATCTATTCTCTTATCTTGTTTCTTTTGCCACACTTGAAAATGCTTTTGCTGCTTAAATGAGGGGCAAGTCTGTGTAGAAGAAATATCCATCTCTTCTGCACTTGAGATAGGAAGCTTATTTTTAAAGCATTTAAAACAGTTTCAGAGTAATGCAGATCTGGTTTTAGAAAAAGAAAAGCTTACTGTTCCCATTGGGATAACCAAAGCTTTGCTGCTGCTGCTACCTTAAATCTTTGTGGCTTTTGTTTAGGTGCAAAACTAAGTATTCATGTGTATGGATGCCGGTGATGCTTAATGCCTTGATGAAAGGTATTAAATAAAATGAACAAGGGCTAATACCAACTTCACTTACAGCACATTTGAATTGTATTCTTATGTCTTTCTGAAGCATGTATTAGTCCTGTAAAGGTATTTAAGTGTTTCCTTCCTGCTTCTGTTCTTCCCTGTCTGCTTTTTGCAGAAAAATAACCTGGCAGTCCCCATGTGAGTTCAGCAGCGCTGTGGCAACAGTGCAGCCTGATTCAGCTTGCTGCTCTGCCTCTGCATTAGAGCAGAGTCAAAGGCAGACACAGAAGCTTTCTCCAGTCTTCAAAAGCAGTTATTTCAAACCTGTTCTTTCTTTCTTTTTCCATTTTAAGAACTAATAGACATGATGTTTTGTCTCAGGAGAAAGTGGACTGGCATAATAAATACCAGCTTTGTATAACAGGTTTTAAAAAAGTATCTTTTCCCAGAAAACCAACATGAGTTGGTTCACTGTGAAGTGAATAGAAAGTGTTTCCTGACCAGGAAAATCCTTTAAAATGAGCACTCTGCATTTAATGGTGTTTGAAAATGGAATAATTGCAAGTTTTCTTACTGCTTGGGCTGTTTGCTTCAGAGCCTTTTCTCAAAATTCACTATAAATACAGCACCTGTCATAGATTTAACATCCCAGTGAGCTCCCCTAAGGTTAAACATTTGTTTGTTTGCATAAACATGTGTTGCATTCTGTAAGACCTTACTACATCAAGTTATGTATCCTGGCTTTCAAAGGTAGATATATACTTGTGAAATGTTTTTCTGTGTAAACAAGTTTTAGCTGTGTACCTTTTATAAAAAAACCCCAACAACCCAAAAAACCTAACAAACTAAACCCTACAATGTAAAATCCCAAAATGCCTGCACTTAGAAAATAAATGGAAAGGTAAAACCATGAACTTCTCTGCTAAACTCCAGTGATGTACAGTCTCTGATGCTGAAAGGGTGAAGTAAATGATGGGTATTTGTAATGCAATTCAGCATTTATGCTATAGATCATGAATCCTTCAATACTGACATTTTTTTTTGCCACTGATTAAGGACTCTTCACAGGCTCCTGGCAAAGGAAGAATTCAAGTGTGCAGTTCCCTTTCTGCTCTGCCTTACCTTGGCACTGACAGATGGCAAAACTGAATAAAGCACCTGGAGAGCTGGACTGAACTTACCTGGCAGGCTCCAGTACTGACAGGGAGCAAGGACGGCACAGAGCGAGAGCCTTTCACCACATGTTCTCCAAAAAAAAACAAGAGCTGGAGGCCTGTGCTTTCTCATTTTTGGGCAGGAGGTATGTAGTTAGCTGTATGAAAGGCTAAACATCACCATTCAAAGCTATTGGAGGAAGTTCTCAAAATAGTGAGGGCAGCACTTGATGCATGGCCTCCCCTTTCCTGCAGAACTGGATTTGCACAGCTAGTGCTAGTATACAGTGCTGTGTTGGTTTTTTTTCCCAGAACAGGTTAAATAATGGATATAGTGGCAGACTTCAAAATATATTATGTACTGTCAAATAAAGTCTTCAGCCATGAGAACCTATTTAATTTGTTACATGAACAATTCTGATTTGTTTCAGAATACTTGAAATAATAGAACATGGTACTTATGTCTCTGCTGCAACTGCCAGGGTGAGACCTGATCCTCTTCTGCACACCCTATTTTCCTCTCTTGCAGTGAATGTCTTCTCTGGCATCCAGGTCACTGAGTCACCCTGCCAGCTGCTCACTTCATTTCCTAAAAGCTTCAAACATGGCAATTCAAATTATTTTACTCCAGCTGCTGTGCTGTAAACAGATGAATTCCAGCTAAACATAAGGCAATGAGTCAAAAGAAATTATGTTTAAAATTCTTTTAATCCATTCATTATAATGCATGATGAAATACTGTGGCATAAGAAAAGGGAAAATATAGATGGGAGTAGGTAATTGTTACTCTGAAAGATCCAACTGCCATCCTCAGTGGAATACAGTAAAAGCCAATGACCTGTTTTGCTCTGTTTCAGGCTGTTTTTCCCCTTAAGCCTGCTGGTGAGTCAAGAACTGACTGGAGTCAGGGGCAGGAATAACAACCCCTTTTTTCTGCAGTTCACGTAAAACATCCAATATTGAATCCAACTCCACTCGAAATTTCTCCAGTTCTTGGTTCTTCCGCTGTGCCAATCTTCGCCACTTCTCAACCTCACGGGTTTGCCTTGCCTCAGTGATCTGTTGGCTTAGTTGGGCTGCCTGCAAATTAGAAGCAAGTCAGTACTGGGACTTCTTAGCTTGTCAGATACTCGGCCAACATTGCCCCTTTGCCAAAATACACCACTGCATTGTATTTGCTGCTCAGTCTCAAAGCCCAGTGCTCGCATTAAGTGGAAACAAGTCCTGAATATTACAGAAATCATTCTGATAGCAGTAAGTTCTTTTAAATACTTGCATTAATGACAGAAGGGTAGAATCCATTACTAATGAGCCTCAGGAGAATTTAACTTATCCTCTCTAAAGCAGCAATTAAAAGTATGAATATTTAAGGCAAAGCTGAGCCTATACCATAACCCTTCTGTAATTAAAATGAACCTTTTAAATTACCATTTAAAGTAATTAATTAAAAGAACACTGTGCAAGAGAAATCAAATCTGAATGACATGGTCTGGGCTACCACTGTATTTTAAAAACTGCAAGTTCATATTTTCTGAGGATATGAATTATGTGGATATC